ATTTAATTATATTTATTACTGAGTTTGTAAACACCAACAAACACTAGTCTATATAAAAAAATATTTCTAAAATTATATTTAATTATATTTATTACTGATTTGTAAACACCAACAAACACTAGTCTATATAAACAAAATATTTCTATTAATGATTATATTTAATTATATTTATTACTGAGTTTGTAAACACCAACAAACACTAGTCTATATATAAAAAATATTTCTTTATTAATGATTATATTTAATTATATTTATTACTGAGTTTGTAAACACCAACAAACACTAGTCTATATATAAAAAAATATTTCTTATTAATGATTATATTTAATTATATTTATTACTGAGTTTGTAAACACCAACAGACACCAAATAAAAAACTAGTCTATATATATTTAAAATATTTCTATATAAAAAATGATTATATTTAATTATATTTATTACTGAGTTTGTAAACACCAACAAACACTAGTCTATATATAAAAAATATTTCTTTATTAATGATTATATTTAATTATATTTATTACTGAGTTTGTAAACACCAACAGACACTAGTCTATATAAACAAAATATTTCTATTAATGATTATATTTAATTATATTTATTACTGAGTTTGAAACAAACAAAACACTAGTCTATATAAACAAAAATATTAATGATTATATTTAACTATATTTATTAATGAGTTTGTAAACACCAACAAACACTAGTCTATATAAACAAAATATTTCTCTTAATGATTATATTTAATTATATTTATTACAGTTTGTAAACAATAGTCTATATAAACAAAATATTTCTCTATTAATGATTATATTTAATTATATTTTATTATGAGTTTGTAAACACCAACAGACACTAGTCTATATAAACAAAATATTTCTCTATTAATGATTATATTTAATTATATTTATTACTGAGTTTGTAAACACCAACAAACACTAGTCTATATAAACAAAATATTTCTCTATTAATGATTATATTTAATTATATTTATTACTGAGTTTGTAAACACCAACAAACACTAGTCTATATAAACAAAATATTTCTATTTATATTTATTATATTTTTACTGAAGCTTGTGAAAACACCAATGAAAACAAAAAAGTGTTATATTTAATTTTTAACATTTAAAACACTAAGTCATCATAATGATTATATTTTGAAGCTACGAATGAAAGAGAAAAGTGTCATATTTTAACATTTAACATCATACAGAGTGCGATCGGTAAATTGTCGCTATTTTATCTTTTGAATTTCGCACATTTTCGCGATTTTGTCTACTTCTCAGTATAGTAGAGTCTGTTGGGCACGGTCTGTGAGTAAAAGAGCACCATGACGCAATTCATTCCACCAGAAATTTGGAAACGTCAACCTCTACTGCTTACGAACATTTCAGAGTGTTTGGGTATCAATATGAAGACAGTGCAGACAATAAACAACATAAAAATATATATATATATATATATATATATATATATATATATATATATATATAATACCAGCTACTAAATCCCTATCATCTACTACCTAAAACAATTTAGCCAATCTTAAAATATCTAAATAAAACAACGATAACCAAAAATATTACGTATATGATCAAAATCCAAAATCCCCATAAAAATAATAATTTAGAAGCAGGTTTATGTCAAATAAACTATTACAACTGTTCCTTATATTGGGGAAATATGAATAAATGTATGTATGAACACAAAAATGATACACAATAATCAATCAAATGCATCAGTCAAACATAGAAAGAAATTCAACCACAATTTTGATCTAAAGAATGCCACACTTATTAAAAGAGAAAATAACTCCCTTAGACCGAAAATTGTTGAATCTGCCGTAATCGAATCTTGCCAAAATATAAATCTGCGCTAGGATATTTGAAATGATAGAAGCTTTTGAATTTAAACGTTTTATTTTAATTGTCAAAGTTTTTATAGTCATGTATGTTAGTTTTGGAAAGGAAAATTTCTGAACGGAAATGTTTGAAAAATCAAATTACAATGTTCTTCGTCCTGATCATTCTTACTTATTCTTTAACAATCAGTAACCCCTTGCGTCTTAGTGGCTTTGTTGCCTTGGTTGGTGCGATATGGTTAAAATGCGTATATAAGACACTTTTTTTTCTATTCTTACCTTCTAAATATAAGTAATTAATATAAAAATTATACACACACACACACACACACACACACACACACACACACATATATATATATATATATATATATGTATATTGCATATACGCGGTACTTATTGAAAAGTGCTCAATCTCAGTGTTATAGCTAACATATTCAGTTGTATGGATAGGAGTTTGTGACTCTGGGTTTCAAGCTTTTGCGATTATATATATATATATATATATATATATATATATATATATATAAGTTATGAAGAACTTGGTAATCCGTATGGGTAATCCCAAGGAGGATGGAATCCCGAGAGCTCAATGTAAATCCAGAGCTAATATTTAAAAAAAAAACAGACCACTTTTGGTACCATTATAATAATTTTTTCACCAGAGTCCTTTTAAAAGACGCCGGATCATCAGATAGCACTTCCAAAAGGACTCTGGTGAAATAAATTATTATAATGGTACCCTAAATTGATCTGTTTTTTTCTTTTATATATATATATATATATATATATATATATATATATATATATATATATATATACGGATGTGCGGTTGGTTGAGTGTCAAAACGAACAGCCGAGTTCGAATAATGCAAGTTATATTTGCTTAAGGCGAAAACTTAGGCGAAAACACCATCGGGAGGGTATAAACCAATCTCTCCCACTCATCTTTGAGTTAAATAGTAGGACTGACTAAGTAGCTTTTATGTTTGGTTGTCAACCAGTCTAGGAGAATGACAACTCTGAATACTTACATTTCTATCGACTTGAAAGAAACAAGTTATAAAGTTTCTCGCAAGTAACGTTTATACGAAAAAAAAAATTTCTTTCTTTTTAAAACACAAAAGAAATGAATTGTGTTAGTATAGTGTGAAAAGTATATGTGAATTCTTACTGAGAAAATTCACGATTTTGTTATGTGCGTATGATGTAATTTCATCAGCAGCCGATGATATTTGTAATATTACTGCTGCTATAATTGCGCTTTGTCTTGCCTGGGTATTTTTCGTCATTTAAACATGCAAACCAGTTTGTAAAAATACTTTAAAAGTGAGAAATAATGTGCAAGGAGTGACTTAGTACTTAATAAGGTAATTTGAGTATACGAAAATCTAAGTATTCAAAAGTATTTACATCCCCGGGTCGGAGAAATACTGAAAGACTAAAAAATATTAATTTATGTAACGCTATTTATAAGAAAAAATCGGATTCCAGGAAGTCAAAAATTAGGTTTACTACACACAGATGTTTCTTGCTTAATAAATATATTTTCCCATTTTTAATTTCGATTTTTGGGAGGGAAAAGTTTGTTAATCATGTTCCGGCTGTGATCCTCCAATTTTTGTAGCAAACGGTAATATATATATATATATATATATATATATATATATATTAATCCGTGTTATGATCCGTATAGAGAAATAGTATAGTGAATAGTATAGAGATAGAGGATAGTGTAGAAAGAGTGTTCCGTATAGTACTAGAGGGTAGAATAGATATACTGATCATTTACACGTCACACTAATTCCCGTATATATATATATATATATATATATAGATAGATATAGATAAATAGATAGATAAATAGATAGATAGATAGATCCTTTACAATCACGTGGTCTACTTATTAGAAATGGAATCACCTGTGTTTTCTCACTGGTGATCTGTGTTCAAACTCCAGTGTCGGCAGCGACAATTTATCCCTATATAACAATTATGCTAAAGAAATAGGTCCCGTTCAGCATCATATTTTATTGACGACGATTCTATGCATTGCAAATCATGAAACAACGCTGGAAATTGCAAAGATTATTGGCACACACCGCCGTCCTGTGGAGAATGATATTTGGCCACTGTGATATATTAAGTTGAATAATAAACAATTTACGTTTTTTTTTATCAGTTTTATTCTTCAAGAAATAAAATACAATTATATTTGGTTAATTTGCAGTGTAACACCCGCACTCAGTTTGCGTTAAAAAATTTCCAGAATATTTACATTTATATGTAATTTTATATGCTCCATTCGAATCTGGCTTGATAAATTTGATAAAATCTGCCGTTTTGGAGTTATCGACGGTGAACGTTCGGATTCATTCGCGTCACAGGCAGCCATTACTGGCCTTGTTTGCATACATTCGCTGCTGTGTCAGTGTAGGTATCATTTAGACAAGAAAGATCAATTCCTCGCTCAGCTTTACGTAGTTTTATTCTTCAAAAATATATATATACGTATTGTTCACCACTTTCATTCAAATTGCAGTTCATAGTTTCGGTTTTGGAAAGTACTCAATTGGTAGTTAGGTCTCGCATTTTAAAGTTGAAAATGACTAGATGTAACCGTAAGTTCTCTGCTAACAGTTTATTCTGTAGCATTACTCGCTTGTGGAAGTCTCTTTCAATTTTAAGCTTTTCCGTCAGCAATTTAAACGCAATGTCAGTCGTTATCTTCTGTCTCCATGAGATCTTTTATTCGTAGGAAGAAGCTGTTTGAATAGAACTTCTATTTCAATAATGGAATACGAAGGTTCGCTACAATACGCGTGGCATGGAAGGTCCTAGCCGAAAAAGGTTAAATCTGGTAGAACTAAGCAATGTCGTTCATTTGAACACCCTCCGTGGAAATAGCGATAGACCAGCGAGAGGCTTGAGACGTCGAGTCTGTGAGGAAGGGCTTGTAGGTCGGGAATTAGTTACACACAAGGACGTGAAGACGCTTTTGTGCTCTATCTAAACCGGAAAGACCAGACTGCCTGTATATGAGACCAGTACTCTATTGTCTGATAAGGCTCTTGTAAATGTAGACGATAGCACAACGAATCACGTACTTACTGGATAGGTACGTGGAACGAGCATTTTTAGGATATCAGGAGGAGTTGGTACCAATTGCGTAGGGTTAAGCAATATAGAACGATAACAAGACCATTTGCAAACAATTTTAAAAAATGCACAAGGACCGATAGTAAAATTAATTCTAGGACTAACCGCAAGACATAGATAAAGTGGAACATCGACCAGAGAACTGGCCCAAATAAGAGAGAGAGGGGAGAGAGAGAGAGGGGAGGGGAGAGAGAGGGGGAGAGAGAGGGGGGAGAGGGAGATGGAGAGAGAGAGGGAGAGAGAGAGAGAGAGACCTTCTTTACGTTATCTATACCTACGGTAAACTTTGTACGAACGTAAGCCAGTTTTCTACAAGGAGACAGGCTTAGAGCTACCTTATTTATTATTTATGACATGGCTTATTCTTCTGCACATATTTGGGTTTGCCATTTCCATGATAAGTTTTCGGGTAGATAGAACTCATAAACCGGGGAGTTCAGTCCTTCTAAGAGAAAGAAATTACTGATTTCAATCGTCCGTTACATAGCGACGAAAATATGAAATAGATAGAGATTGTGGCAATTAAAGCATTCTATCCAAGATAAGGAAAATCAATAAAAGAAACATGAGTGATTCTTGCTTGGCATGCGCCATGAGTGCTATGGGAGGAGAGATGCATTTTTGTATACCAAATCTGGTCTACATATATTTCTAATCGTTGTTTAGGAAGCTGGTTAAATTTACATGAAAAAAAGAGACAGGATTAGAGAAGACATAACAAATGGCCTATGCCCAAAAGGTCGTCGGGGTTGAGGGAAAAGCGGAGAAAGAAGATGGAGAGATGTGAGGGTAGTCTGCTGGTAAAATATACCTGAGTATAGAATGGTCACGCCCGTCACATTAGGAATTGTAATGTATTGGACGAACAGCGGTTGATGAGAGTGATGGAAATGAATCTAGTTGAAAATTATGGGAGAGACAGACACGAAGGATCGCACTGACGGGCAATGTCTTGGAAAGA